GCCCGGGGTCGGCCTAGCAGCGTCTCTGAGCTGCGCTGCCTCCTACGGCGGAGCGAGCCGGCCGGGCCACCTGCAGCGCTGGCTGCGCCGCTGCTTCCCTAGGAAACCCAGTTTCCCCGCGGCAGGGTCGGGAGCGCGCGGGGAGGCGCGCACACTCGCCCATTGACACACACGCTTGCGCGCGCGCGCACACACAGCCGCGCAGCGCGCTCCGTCCTCACTACCGCATCCCCAAGCAGGCAGAGCGAAGCCGCTGCGACTCCCCCGAACCTCAGCCTCGGGGGCGAAGCGGAGCCTCTGCGCCTCGGGGAAGCCCGGAGCCTGCGCCGCCGCCTCGGGGGCAGAGCCCTGCGGAGCGCGCCCGGCCCCGTCGGGTAAGTCAGCCTCTCTCCTCGCAGCCCGCCCGGGTGGGCGCCTGCAGACCCGAGGGAGAGGGTGGGGGCTGCCGGTGCGGCAGCGGGGTGGCCGGTGGGGGAAACGGCGTGGATCGACATGTCGGGGGCAGGCTGTCTCTTCCAGCGTCGTTTAGCCGGAGCCGGTTCCACTCCCGGGGACTTATTCCGCCACCCCTGGAGTTGCTGCCCCCTTCTCCCCTGCCCCCAGCCCGAGGTGCACTCTGCTCTGTGGTTGCCAAGGAGACTTCCTTAAACATCAGCCTTGGGACGTCTGTTGAAATAACTGGTTTCTTCAATGGTGCTGTTATTTATTTTGATTTTTTTTATGAAAAGTATGCACTGAGCACCATGTGGTAATTTGGCATTCGTTAATCTGTATTCAGGCGACGATTTCATTCAACTTTAAGAAAAGCGGTAATTGCACTATATGATATGCTTTAAAAATGATTCGTCAGATGAATTTTTCAACGGATGTGTCTTGAATCGTAAATTACTCCCATTTTGGTGATAAAGAAAGCTGATTCCAATTAAAATCCCTTCTTCCTCTCTGTTTCCACGTTGTATTTTGCAGTTCATTCAGACGTGATTGTTAACATTGAAAAAGGAAGATGAGTTCATTGTGGTTCCTCACACAGAGATGATCTGTTGTAAACTGACCAGAACAGGAATACATACGTGAAATTCCTAATGTAAGGAGATAGCATTCATAACATACATCTTTGCTAACATTTCTATATCCACTGCATTCTTATTGTAGTGCAGTTTTTGGCACCTCTTCCCATTTCTGAGATTGTTTTCTTTCCAGTCTCTTATTAATTATTTGACATATATCTATATATGGATAGATATAGATATAAAATGTATGCCATGGCTTAATACTCCAGATTCTAAGTTTTTGGAGCTCACGTTAAAACATAGAGAGGAAGGACGCTCAGAGAAAGCTTTATAGATCCTGTTGGGTTTTATCTGATGGATTGGGTCCTTTACCAGAGCACTGAGAGAGGCCCAAGGAGGAATATCCCCTAATCGCTGGACTGTCAGTTTACCTTTAGGCCTCAGGTGCCTCAGCTGAACTTATGACACAGCATTTGAAAGGGTCAGCAATCTGGTAATTATACTTTGCACTAATTTCATACCTTCCTCACAAACAGAAATGACCTAGAAAAGATCCAGTGGCATTCAGCAATTCATTTTGTTTTCCTTTGAGATTTGTTTATCTTTTCTACCTTTTCTTAAACGATATAAGGAAATATATAAAATTCTTTTTATTTAGACTTTAAACTGTGCCATACGGAGTGTAATAATGTGAGGATCAAGGAAGCCAGTTATAACTGAGGTACGTAGAGGGTATTTATGCAGCTGAAAGGGGGCTGGGAAATGAAGAACTATGATCAACATTTGATATTACAGTTTACACAGTACTTTTTGTATACTTCCTTTTTAATCCCCGTAACAACCTTGTGAGGTCAAGGAATTATCTTCATTTTAAAGCTGAAGGGCCTGGAACTCAGAGCCTGCCGAAGGGCCTGACACTCAGAGTCTGCTGAAGGACACAAAGCTAGTGAATGGGGGAGCCCTTTTTGGATCCAGGCTCTATGCCTTTAAAATTGTCCTGTATCTGCATTTCCATTGTGTGCGAGGGTCTAACAGGTGAGATGAAGGAGTGGAGCATCTTGGTGGCAGACACATGGGAGGGAGGGGCATGTGGAGTGTGGCTTCTGGAAATCGGAAACCACTATGAAGGGGGCAGCTCCTACTGTAGCTGATTGTTGCCACAATTCTAAAAATTCTTTTTCAAGGAAAACTGAAGTTTCCAGATTTCTTTTATGTGACATATCCTTAATTTTAAAAGCTGTAAGGACCACACATGTCCTGTGGCCTCCTAGTTTGCAATCCATAACTACTGAGGTCTCATTCATTTCTGAGCTGTTTTTCTCTAATAAAATATTGATGCGGCCCGGTCGGGCGTGGCTCAGTGGTTGAGCATCAGCCTAGGATCCAGGAGATCCCAGTTCAATTCCCGGTCAAGGCACATGCCCAGGTTGTGGGCTTGATCCCAGGTTGGGGGTGTGCAGGAGGCAGCCGATCAATGACAACTCTCTCATCATTGATGTTTCTATCTCTTTCTCTCTCTCTCTCTCTCCTCCTCTCCCTCTCTCTGAAATCAATAAAGATATACTTAAAAATATATATTGATGTAAATAAATATATCCATCATTATAAGAGTGATTAGGAGTTTTCTGATTTTGTTATTAAAATCTCTAAAAAATGTTCCAGGTCTTTTCTTCAGTAAATAGGTCCAAGTTTGTTTTTGAGGGGTTCCTAGGTCCTCTGTCTTATATTTCAGAGAAAATAAAAGAGCATGAGGTGATCCAAAATAGGAATTTTTGAATCTAGTGAAACAAAATCATTTATAGTTTAAAACTTCTTATGTCCCTGGCTTAATTTTTGTTCTGGGCATAGGACTAAAAAGAATAGAAAATGTTAGTTGAAGGAAGAGGTGGAATAAAAAGTTGGTCAGAAAAAGGAGCATCCTGAACCTCTGAATGAACGAAAAGTTCCTATCAAGGTTTTAGGTAGTTAAAAGACACCAAGAATACTACATCATTCCAAAGGAGCAAAAACATAAATGGGAACTCAAAGGGACATTCATTACATACCCTGCAGAGAAAATTCTATTTACTTCTTAAATAATCTTGCAACGAAGTGAATACCTTTTGAGAAGCTACCCCTTTCTCATATCTTTATTAAAGCTGTAGAGATATCAGTAGATTTCTCTGAAGCAAACCTAGTGATCTGAAAGGAGGGAGGGGACAGGAAGAGATTAACCAAAGAACATGTATGCATATATGCATAGTCCATGGACACAGACAATAGTGTGGGGAAGGCCTGGGG